AGTTTAGTTTCACTTGGTGTGTGAACAGCCTTGTTCTTCTCAACTATCCTGCTTCACAGGAGCACTGGAGTCACAACAGACTACTTTCATCTTTGCATCTACCAGGCACAAGGATTTTTTCCTCAAATTTCACATATACTGTTTTGGGTTATAGTGCATTAAGATAGAAAGTTGCATGTTATGCTATAACAAGCGATGGAAATTTGCCAGATTGGGGAAAAACAGCTAAAGTCACCACGATGAAGCTGATAATGGAAAAACGTGGAGGAATTAAGCGATCTGAGACCACTATAGGCCACTACCGCACATGCCCAGAAGAACATTACCATATATTAATGAGTTCTTGGAAAAGAATGAATATGTATGCCAATGTATTGCATATGTATGTCGTAACCATTTAAATGTAGAACTCAAACTCTGAGAGCACATGCTTGATTAATCAAGTCACCCAGTACATATGGTGAGGAATAAAGGAATGCCGCCTTCTGAGACCACATCTCTAACTCCAGTTAGAGAGTTTTCTTTCCATATTTCAGTACTTGCCCTGAGAATATTGCCACCACATCTTTACATCCACCCATCTTCCTCAAATACGTGATGTGACCACTTCAAATCAACAAAGGTCTCAGCAAGAACTATTGAGTAAATAACGTAAGGAAAAAAACAAAGAGACCCATACTAGCCTTAAGCAGCAGAACTCTTAAATCTCCCCTAAACATTTTTAACAATCTGATAAATTCCTCTTTAGGATCTCAGTATTTCTGTCAAAAAGCCAAACTAAAAGTTTCATTTGTTTCAACAAAAGATCTTAACATTAATGAGTTAAAAAGGAAATCACCAGAACGCTACTTTCCAAAGGAATAAAACTTTGATAGAAAAAGTGTACTAATATTGACAAACAGAAAGAACACGTCCTTAGATAAGTGCTGAACACATTTGAAATTCTAGTCCAATTGCGTCTTCGCTGCTGAAGTATACAAGGTTTTTTTTTCATCCGATATCTGTACAATCAAGTGATCTGATTTAGTGAAGTACATATTGAACTAGTAATCAAATCCAGAAAAACAGAGCCCCTCAAGCAAACTAAGTGGCTTTCTGATGTCCTTGCTGACAGTATTTCTGAGAATTACTGAGAAGCAGTGGAGACTCGCAATGAGAGACAGAACGACTAAAGATGCACTTCAATACTAAGAGCTGCCACTCCTCCCTTTCTGTTGGATAAAAAGGGAACATGAACTAGCCAGAGCTGTGAACTCATGACATTTCAAACACTGGATTTAAAAAATAAATGTTTTCTGAGAAACACAACAGGTCCATGAATTCATTACTCCATCTAAGATGCTGGCAAGCATTTCTGCACTACGGCAGCCACAGTCAAAGCTGCAGGAGGAAGATCCAACAGAATCAAGAACACATACAGGGGACAAAATGGGTGATCAGGGCATAGCCCCAGGTCCTCAGCGCAGCTCCTTGGATAATGCACTGTTTTGAACAAAAGAAAAAGCAGTGCTGGATAACCAATTTGTCTCCATTCACTACAGGGCCTTGGGGCAGTGGTGAACTTGTACTGTGTAACACTGATGAGCCAGCCTCATCTGCGATGCAACATTTCTCAGCTTGCCTGAGAAGAAAGGCTGTTCTCACATTAAAATCATATCTATTATTACAAGTGAAAGATGCCTAAATTGCACATAGGTGGCAGGTGCAGAAACGCACTTCGGGGTGAATGCATTATTGACTTTAGTGTCACCGGGGCTCAGAGGAAGAATATGCAGAATCAGCCAAAGCTGATTTCAGAAAAAGCAGCATTTCTAAGAATACTCCATGATTATAGAACAGGTTTTAAAGCATCATCACTTTAATTTGGTACACGGCCCGAACAAGTACTGAATGAATTTTCACAGAGCTGACCAGGATCCTACCTGTGCAGTAAGAAAACTTTCACACGGATGGCAAAATCACCAAGGTTGAAATGGCTTTCTGCTCCATTCAACAAGTAGAGATACTCACTTTGGAATCCAGATTATTCCTGCACCTTTCTGTAGGTTCCTGCAAGCCCACGCAACAAAATAAGCTTCTACCTCTGAACTAGGCTGTTTTCCATTGAACAACACAGTTGAATTCAGTAGTCCATACCTCAGGACAGTCAGAAGAGGGAACAAAATTAAAAATTGTCCAAAAATTAAATGGAAGAGTTGCTGCCTTAATCACACCAAGCCCCTATTTTTCTGCTTCTCACACTGGCATTATTGGATCAGTTCAAGGAGAGTCACATCCTCCAACAAAGGCTCTTGGCTGAAACCTACATGAAGGTTTATGGTTCGCGTTTATCTTTAGCCTATACCACTTGCAAGGCTCATACTGATCTGTAAAAGCCTAAAAAAAGTAATAATAATAATGAAATTAACACAGGCAGACATCTGTGACCTCTGACTGAGCTTCCCCTGAGATTTCCTAACCCAAATTGCTATATAAACAGAGCTGCTTTTCATTCTCCTCATAGTCATAGCTGATGCTAGGACATTCTCCAGAGCTATTCCCTGTCCCTCTGGGTGCCCCAGTCCTGCCACATCTACACTTCCTTCTCCATTGCCTAACACAGACTTTTAGAACTTTGTGAGTCTTTTTTATGGCTAAAACCCTGTGAGATCATACTCATTGCTCAGTGGCTTGAGATCATTTTATTCACTGCCTTATACTTAAGCATAGCACCACAGACAAAAAAACTGGATGACAAACATACAAGTAGCAACAACTTCAGTCAGCCCATGATGGACAAGGACAGCACAGCCTTGATTGTACCTGAGTGATGCTTCATGGCATAGAAAAGACTCCAGGCTTAATGACAAGCAGCATGAACTGGTAGAGGTGTTTGCTATTAAATAACTTATTTCTGGCTCTGTATCTGCAAATAATATCAGTGATACTATGCTTTTTTCCCCTCCTGAGGGCTGACACTGCCATCATACTCACTTGACCCATTCACCTACCACAGCCAACCCACGTGGGGACTTCTGCAATAGGGCCACCACCTCCAGCTTTTTCTCACAGATCCACCACAAAGCACAACATGCTGAAATGGCTGTTGTCACTCAATGTACAGTTGCAACCAAAGATCCAGTCAGTGTGACTCCTCTAGGATTAGTCTCCTCAATCTGTTTCACTCCAAGGGTAAAAAAAAAAAAATCAATGCTTCGCATTCACTTTCTCTTTTTCTTTCTTCCCTTTTCTACGTCGAAGGAAATGAAGCAACATCCATTTCAATTATTACTACTATCTAAAGCCTTTCCAATAACGAGGCATATGGACAGCTAAACATGCACAAACTAATCAGCTTTTACTGCCTGATAAAGTGTCACACTTGTCGTGTTCCCTGATCAGCCAAGCTTATTAGTTCACTTCACATGACGGTCACAAATTTGCATCTATTATCCACTGTCTGAAGATTTAAGAGCTTCCTGTTCTGCAGAGATTATCCATCAATGGAAACAATTCTTAAGGGAGAGAAAAGAATATGTTACTTCAGTGCTAGCTTTGCTAGGCAGGCCTTGCTGGATTTATCACTTTAATCTACTACATTGACTGAAACCAATGCAGATGGTTTTACCCAACTCCCTCAGAACTGAATGGCACTGTACTAGTAATAATAGTGCTGAACACTCTTCTGAATCCTTAAGAACATAAATCAAATGAGACTTCTTTTTCTTTGGTTAAATAATAGTTCATTACATGCTCATAAAGTCAAGTGGGCACCTGAGCAGATGTGAAGTACCTTCAGGCAGCATCATGTTTAACAATTTCAGAAACAGCTTCCTCACACTCTGCCACTGCTGTGTCACCAGAGGTGCAGAATCAGAAGGAAGGAGCAGGACAGCACAAATTTTCTATGGTGCCCCACTCCAGCACGTATCAGATACCCAATTGCTGCTCATCTCAAGCACACAGCTTTAGATAATAACACGCGGGGATGGAATCACCAAAAATAAATTAGTGATAATCTTTATTTACACATTCCAAGTAGGACAAAGAATAACTGGAAATCAGAGCCAAATACTTTCCCTTGCAAACATTAGGGTTTGAGTCTTATATTGTTGATTCAATCTGGCTCCATTTCCTTCCTCAGTAATGCCAGTTTCTCTCTCATTATTACCTCCAGCCAGAAAAAAAAAAAAAGGCAAAAAAAGGCTGATAGTTATTCCAGCCATGAATCAGCAAATGGAGGAGAGTACATGAACATTCAGGATGGCATCTTCCCTAAAGAGATTAATTGTGGCAAGCTTGCCTGGCCTTCTGCCACCTTATACTCCTGCATAACAATCTATGCACTACTGTTTGCCACTCTGCCCCTCAAAATGGGCATAGATAGCTGGTGTAATTGTGCTCTCTAACAAGTCAGAAAGAGGGAATTAGCTGCCCTTTACTTCCTGCTCAGGTCAGCTAATTCTCAGAGTGGTCAGACAAGCTGCAGGGGGAGCGCTGTATGAAAATCACATCAGGCAGACAAATTGGTGAGTCCATTATCAGTGTCTTCCACACTGTCTGAGAATCGAGAGCGTGAGGCAGGAGCAGGGAGAGAGGGGCAAAGGGAGCAGTAAGGCTTGGTACTGTATCAGCAACCCTTCCACCAACCTGCAGCAGGGGAAAGGAGAGCTGCACAGCTAAATTCACTCTCTTGTTGAACGGGGCTACAGATAGAGTCAAAAAGTGAGATGTTAACTGTCAGTGCAATTCTCTATTGCATTTACAATGAATAGCTACCAGCTGGACCCTTTCTCTAACTCCCTTCCATATTTCCAATAAGATACTCATACTCAGAGTCACATCTGAGAAGAACAATGTGCAGAACAAAAAGCTCAACATGCTAAAAGCGATGCAAGTCAATAAACATGTTAAGGCTCTGTTCTGCTCACAAAGAAGAAAAATTGCTTCTCTTGGTGACACCAGGCAAAGTTTTTGCAGATAGGCCAATAGTAATATACAGAAAAAAGAGCTAAACTCACCCAGCTGGTGAAGGAAATCTCTGGCTAAACAGCGCTCCTCCTCACGGAGCAGCCTAGCTCCAACAGACGCTCTCCCGTCCATGGCTGGCCCTTACATGAGCCCAGAGTGGTTGCACCCTCGGTCCCCCCCTTCTGGTCACTGGGAAGCACAGGTGCAAACAATTTGTCTATGCTCCCTGGGCAGCCACAGCCCTTCACCAGGTGCTCAATCACCAGTTCAAGCCCTAACAGCTCCCCTACAGGCACCTGCTGACATTTATTCAAGTTCTGACAACATGGGTGCTGACGATGAATAAACTCACTTATTTGGGGTAATGCTGCAACCCTCCCATCTCTCCCACCCTTACATGTTCCAAACTTCACAAATATTCAGCAAATCCCCAAAATATCCCAAGTTGAAAAGGACCCATAAAGATCAGCAACCCTACTCCCTGGTCTAATATTCATGAACCAATTCAAAAGCTATAGAAATCACAGAGCACCTCTGTTGGCAACCACTGGTCACCAGGATTTCTGTAAAAAGCATGAATTCTCCATAATAGATTATATGTATGTATGAATGTATTAATAATCAGTAATGAAGAGCAAAACAGCAGAAATACCTAGTTTTGTTCACAGTCATCAACTACGTGAAGTTTGGATGACAAATGAAGAAGTACTGAGAAAGCTGCAGCAATTTTGTTGTGATACTTGCATGCTCAGTGAAATACCTCTTCCAAAAACATATTTGTCATTCATAAAGACAGGGCCACGTAATCAATGACAGAAGCGAAACGTTAACTGTGAAAGACACCACGTGAACAAAATCTTTTCTGTCTGTAAATTCCAAAAGAGAAAGATGGAAAACAATTCTCTCTAACTTAGTGACTGGGAAGCAGAAGACTTCTTTGTGACCTGCACAGGTCTAGGCAGCAGCCAGCAGCCTGTTGTCTCAGTCCTGTGCACCTGCACTTTATTCTTCACATCATGCTGCTCCTGAGACCAGATCACTAAGTACTGAGAAGAAAATAAGTATTTATAAGAGGAGGACATAAAGTAAGAAAAACAGACATCTTTTACAAACTAGAAAATAAACTGTCCCTGCTGTTAAATAGTCTGTAACCAAGGGTACTGTGCCATTCTCTCAGGTCTTTGTCTCCCAAACTGCTTAATTCCACAGGGGGATTTAGCTTTGCAGGTCTAATTCTATCTGTGAAGGTAAAAAAGGAAAAACTGTTCATTGAGCCCATTTCCCTTTATGGCTCTGCTCACGACTCTCAAGCCAAGCTCTGCCCTGGAGAAGAGGCACTCCAGTCCCTATGGATAGTGAAAATGCAGCCAAATATAAGCCCCTATTTAATTGCAACTATTTAAATCGCTGTAAAATAAACTCTTTTCTCAGGAACTTCATGAAATAAAATACAAGTCAGAACTATTTTTTTCAAGTAAATAAACTGGAAGAGTAAATAATCCCATTAATGTAAAGTACTGAAAATAGCTGGAAGAGTGATTCCAAGAGCTGCAAACACAACACACGCTGCAGAAGATGGAGCAGCAGCTGATTACCCATCCCATCCCTATTTTCTAATGGTGTATAATTAGTGGTTCCTTAAAGAAGCAGCACATGGCATTTATTCAAACTAAGCTTGGGTTCTGTTTGCCAAAGACGTGGAGCTTCATTCTTATCTCAAACACATTGCAATGCCTGGATATGCCCTTTCTTAAGAGTGTGTTCTCAAATAAGTACCGACCACATTTCAACAGCAGTAGGCTTGTTCTCTGAAAAACCTTCTAGAATGTCACAGAAAGGAGTTTTGGGGGAAAAAAAAAAAAAAAAAAAGTTTGTGTGTGAAATGTTAAAAGGGATGCATAATACCAAGAGTGTATTTGCTAAGGAAGCTGCCTGATTTATTTTAATATTTGCACAGCTTTTGCAGCAAATCTCCTTCGCTGCTGCTTCTGCATTTTCAGATCAGGGAAAAAACACACACACACAAAATAAATAAATAAATAAATATGTATATGCACACACACAAATGGAGGAAACAATTCCAGCCCCAAAGGAGTAAGGCTTAAAAAAAAAAAAAAAAGCTTACATACACACAGGAAGAACTTAAAAAAAAAAAAACTGAGTCAGGAAATAGTTTCATGCCATTATAGATCTTACTGCAACAGAGTTAGAATAAACAACATGATGTAAAGTGTCATATTGGTAACCAACAGCAAGTATAAACCTTTCAGGTAAAGATCTTAACAGTGTGCTAAAAGTTCAGAAGTACACTATGAATTGCACATATGTCCATAACCCATAAAGTCACCTCACCACTCACGTTTCCAACCATCTCAATTAATCAATAAACAATTTTTCCCCTGCCAATCTCAGCAGTTGAATGCCTATAACAAATCAAAGGTGCACATATGTATCTGCGACTGAACATTTCTCCTAAGAAGTACATTACAATTTCAAAAACTCTCTTTTGACTCCAAGCAGTTCCCTACAAGCAGAAACAGAAATGCATTTGTAGCTAAAAGCAAGTTTTGGAACCTCACGCCATCAGGTCTTGGTACAAGAGTCTGAATGCCATTTTTTCCCCCCATATTGCCTATGCAATAGACAAGGAGCAAGACAAGTCATGCATGAATTTTGAAAGAGAAAATCTTCACTTAGTGTGTGTTGGGCATATGTCAAAAGTCCATCAGAAGTCACAAACAGAAGGATGCCTACCTTATGAATCCTTAGTTAACTAATAAAGAAGCAGGAATCTCCCTGTCTCAGTTCCATGAAGACAGAATCTCTCTGGACTGAGGTAGAACTCTTAAAGGTGGAAAACAAAATTAAAACAAAGACATGAGTCAATGATGAGACATGACCGTCTTTGAGGCTGAGTGACAGCTAAGCAGAACTTCAGAATCAGCATTTTGGATGCGTCTTGGTTCTTCATCTATGAAATAAGATGAATTTACCTGTTTTACAGACAGCTGTAGTAATTATAGACAAAGCACTAAGATAATAAAACATCATCAGCCATGAATACCTATGAAAACCTGGAATCTTGCAAACTGAATATTAGCATACAACAAATTATGTTGGCTTATGCAGAGAACACGTTAAAATTAGTTCTGTTTAATAATATGTTAAAATCTCTCTACATAGAAGTATGTGAATTTTAAGACCAATTAATGACTGTTTGCTTCAAGATGCACTACAACTACTGTTGCTCCAATTACTCACTATTACAGCAATGGTATTCAAGAAGCAAGCCAGGTGCAAACAGTTCGCCTATTCTCCCTGGGCCAGTCACACCCCTTCAACATGTGCTCAATCACCAGTTCAAGCCATGACCTAACAGTTCCCCTACATGGTGACTATGTTTAAAAATAGTGTTTTGTAGCCGAAAATTTGCTCTATCAAATAGCTTTTTATTGTATTCTTTGTACCTGTTGTAATTTCCATGGAAATAAATAGGAGGCATTACTTTTGGAGCAACCTACATAGTAAAAGCTATTAACGAACGAGTTCACTTGCACGCTGATTGCAACAGAGCCTCAGGTGCTCTCAACTGACAGCAGACAACAAAGCAGCTTGAGATGCTCTGTTTGGACTGGTGGACCTGAATTCTGCTTTCATCATAGCATTAGATCCTACAGCTACTGTGGGCCAGCTGTTTTTTATAAAGAAAAAAGAGGTAGCACAGCACCCCTCTAGGATTACACTTAGCATGACAAGCTCGTTTATTCCCAGCAGTTGTTTACCACTCTGTATCTTTCCTGCAGCAAGTGAGACAAAAGCAGAATTTGACTGCAGAATGGCTTAAATGCTACAATAGAAATGAGGCACAGGAGGACCCAGATTCTCTTCACAAACCAAGTGCGAGACTGACGTGAGACTTTCAGTATCTTGTTTCTCTCCTGCACCTCAGCTATCCGCTGCAGAAACCTGAGATACTCAGATGCAGTGTTATATCCTACTATTGATCCATGTGAAATATCAGCTGTCTGAGATCTCAGGACAAGAAGGGCAACAGATCATCAATTTGCAATTTTGCTCATTCTCAGCGAGGAAATTTCCAGTCTCTCTTCTACCTGGTAAGGACATCCTACTGGAACCAGTCCTCATCAGTGATGGCAATAAGAAGCTGAAGTCACTAAAGCTTCACCATGCACTTGGTGCCAAGTTTATAGCTTGCAAAGTGTGAAACTAAAAGCAAAGTTATCACAAAAACGCATTCAAGAACTGTTCCCATTCACTGCAGCCCCCTAAGCTGTAAGGAAGCCATCATCGCAGATCAGATTTATTATTATTTTGAGTAACTCAGGGTTGATTATGCAGAGTGGAAGAAATACAATCAGTTTGGGCTGACAGGAGAACCCATTGAGGAGGCTGAGAGCAGCACCACTGCAGCAGCTCATGCAGGGCCAATGCCCACCTGGGAGTCTGTCAGGGCAGGCACTGCTTCCCTAGGGCACAGCAGTCAGGCTCAGAAGCAGCCAGGCTATTTGCTTCCTGCTTCTGCAGGAATTGGCCCTACCAGCCTATTGTCACCTGGAGAAATTCACCCCTTCTCTGGCACACTCTTGGAGCTGCACCTAAAATCTCAGAGAGGAGAAAAAGGTAACAGGTTTTTTTGGAAGTACAGAGAAGTAATATATTAGTGTACATATATATACACACACAAATGTGAATGTATACATTTGTCATGTATTTGACTTACTGTGAGACTATTCCCCCTAATAAAAATGCTGAGAGACACAGTCATCTTAACAGTCACCTTGCAAAAAATCACGTTTTGGATTTGGAGGATCTGGATTTATAGAGTCATTCTATTTTCACTACATTTTTCATGTGTTTCATAAAGCCAAACATGGAGTAATTTATTGCTTGTCTAACATCTTTCATACCAAAAAGATTACAAAAATGTTTCACTACCAATTACAGCTAACCAGCTGGCATCAACCAGCCTCACTCAAAGGCAGCTCAAAGGTAGCAGAGCTAATATGTTGGACTCACACAAACTCAGTTCATGGACAGATGAAAGATCTTAAAGTTCAATTACTTTTGCATGGCCTGAAGTCTCACCATCTTCCCACTAACCAAAGCCTTCTCAGGAAGAAGTATCTGAAAGCTGAATAG